TCCCACGCCAGCACACGCAGCACCAATTGCATGGTTTTAGACTCAAACACGACGCGTAGACCATATGACGCGTTGAAACTCGATGTCTCACTCACGCCACTCGATACGCCCGGAGATGCGTCCGACACAGTAAAAGAGATAAAAGAGGAGGGTGGCATAAGAGAATGCGCCGTCCGGGAATCGAACCCGGGGCATCTCGTTGGCAACGAGATATTTTACCACTAAACCAACGGCGCTTACACGGACCAACAAACACCCCACAAACCACACAACCCTGCAACACGCACCACCAACATCACCAACGACACTGCGTATCGCACACTCCATCCTGTCTATCAACAGCTGACCTCCGATCCCTACAGCCATTGACGCGTCCGCAGTTGTCCTCGATACCAACGACAGCTCTCAAAACCGACCTTTCACGCACGACGAGCAATTTGCATGGTTAGCTAACGAGCGGTAGCATAGCGCGTTGAACTTGATGTCTACCACGCACTGGATACGCCGAAAGATGCGTCCGACACAGTAAAAGAGATAAAAGAGGAGGGTGGCATAAGAGAATGCGCCGTCCGGGAATCAAACCCGGGGCATCTCGTTGGCAACGAGATATATTACCACTAAACCAACGGCGCTTGCACGGACCAACAAACACCCCACAAACCACACAACCCTGCAACACGCACCACCAACATCACCAACGATACTGCGCATCGCACACTCCATCCTGTCTATCAACAGCTGACCTCCAATCTCTACAGCCATTGACGCGTCCGCAGTTGTCCTCGATACCAACGACAGCTTCCAAAACCGACCTTTCACGCACGGCGAGCGAATTGCATGGTTTGCTAACGAGCGGTAGCATAGCGGGTTGAACTTGATGTCTACCACGCACTGGATACGCCGAAAGATGCGTCCGACACAGTAAAAGAGATAAAAGAGGAGGGTGGCATAAGAGAATGCGCCGTCCGGGAATCGAACCCGGGGCATCTCGTTGGCAACGAGATATTTTACCACTAAACCAACGGCGCTTACACGGACCAACAAACACCCCACAAACCACACAACCCTGCAACACGCACCACCAACATCACCAACGATACTGCGCATCGCACACTCCATCCTGTCTATCAACAGCTGACCTCCAATCTCTACAGCCATTGACGCGTCCGCAGTTGTCCTCGATACCAACGACAGCTTCCAAAACCGACCTTTCACGCACGACGAGCGAATAGCATGGTTTGCTAACGAGCGGTAGCATAGCGGGTTGAACTTGATGTCTACCACGCACTGGATACGCCGAAAGATGCGTCCGACACAGTAAAAGAGATAAAAAGAGGAGGGTGGCATAAGAGAATGCGCCGTCCGGGAATCGAACCCGGGGCATCTCGTTGGGCAACGAGATATTTTACCACTAAACCAAACGGCGCTTACACGGGACCAACAAACACCCCACAAACAACACAATCTCTTGCAACAGACACCACCAACATCACCAACGATACTGCGCATCGCACACTCCATCCTGTCTATCAACAGCTGACCTCCAATCTCTACAGCCATTGACGCGTCCGCAGTTGTCCTCGATACCAACGACAGCTCCCAAAACCGACCTTTCACGCACGGCGAGCGAATTGCATGGTTTGCTAACGAGCGGTAGCATAGCGGGTTGAACTTGATGTCTACCACGCACTGGATACGCCGAAAGATGCGTCCGACACAGTAAAAGAGATAAAAGAGGAGGGTGGCATAAGAGAATGCGCCGTCCGGGAATCGAACCCGGGCATCTCGTTGGCAACGAGATATTTTACCACTAAACCAACGGCGCTTGCACGGACCAACAAACACCCCACAAACCACACAACCCTGCAACACGCACCACCAACATCACCAACGATACTGCGCATCGCACACTCCATCCTGTCTATCAACAGCTGACCTCCAATCTCTACAGCCATTGACGCGTCCGCAGTTGTCCTCGATACCAACGACAGCTTCCAAAACCGACCTTCCAAGCACGGCGAGCGAATTGCATGGTTTGCTAACGAGCGGTAGCATAGCGGGTTGAACTTGATGTCTACCACGCACTGGATACGCCGAAAGATGCGTCCGACACAGTAAAAGAGATAAAAGAGGAGGGTGGCATAAGAGAATGCGCCGTCCGGGAATCGAACCCGGGGCATCTCGTTGGCAACGAGATATTTTACCACTAAACCAACGGCGCTTACACGGACCAACAAACACCCCACAAACCACACAACCCTGCAACACGCACCACCAACATCACCAACGACACTGCGCATCGCACACTCCATCCTGTCTATCAACAGCTGACCTCCGATCCCTACAGCCATTGACGCGTCCGCAGTTGTCCTCGATACCAACGACAGCTTCCAAAACCGACCTTCCAAGCACGGCGAGCGAATTGCATGGTTTGCTAACGAGCGGTAGCATAGCGGGTTGAGCTTGATGTCTACCACGCACTGGATACGCCGAAAGATGCGTCCGACACAGTAAAAGAGATAAAAGAGGAGGGTGGCATAAGAGAATGCGCCGTCCGGGAATCGAACCCGGGGCATCTCGTTGGCAACGAGATATTTTACCACTAAACCAACGGCGCTTGCACGGACCAACAAACACCCCACAAACCACACAACCCTGCAGCACGCACCACCAACATCACCAACGACACTGCGCATCGCACACTCCATCCTGTCTATCAACAGCTGACCTCCGATCCCTACAGCCATCGACGCGTCCCCAGCTGTCCTCGATACCAACGACAGCTTCCAAAACCGACCTTCCACGCACGACGAGCAATTTGCATGGTTAGCTAACGAGCGGTAGCATAGCGCGTTGAACTTGATGTCTACCACGCACTGGATACGCCGAAAGATGCGTCCGACACAGTAAAAGAGATAAAAGAGGAGGGTGGTATAAGAGAATGCGCCGTCCGGGAATCGAACCCGGGGCATCTCGTTGGCAACGAGATATTTTACCACTAAACCTCCTTCTCCTCGCGGCGTGGAGACTTAGAGGCTGTACGCTTCTTTGAGGGCTTGTCGGGCTTTCGGCTTTAGAGGCCTTAGCACGCGCAAGACCCTCGGCCAAGCGAGAGACGTTTGCGAGGGATTCGCTCTTCCTCATCGCCACCGGCTTTGGGAGTGCCCTTAGCCTTGACGGCCGGACTCTCAGAGCGCACATACGTTCTGGGACTGTTATCACCTTGATCACTAGCGAGCGACTGCACGCTGTCATCCTTGTGCTCACTGGGCACTGGGCTGTGCCCTCCCACAGAGCCCACAGGAGCATCGTGCGTGCTCTCGGACTCGGCATCGTCCTCACTGCCAGAGTTGAGCTCACGTTCCACGAACCGAGGGTTCGGACGATTGTCTGAGGCCGAGGGCGACGGACTGCGGCGCTTGCTTGCTCGCTTGCCCACAGCCGCGTCACCCGAGGAACCGATCGCCTCGGAGGCCACCTGAGTAGCCTCCTTGAGTGCCGAGCCTTTGCCGTGAGGCTTAGTGCTCTTGGCTTGCGCCTTACCGGCAGCAGCCTTGGAGCCTGTCTTAGCACCGCTCTTTGCAGTGCCACGAGGCATGGTAACGGTTGAATTGGAGACCTAGACGAAGAGCGCACAGGTTGCTGCTCGAAAACCATCGACTTGGCCGCGCTCGCGCGGCCAAGTCGATAATTTTCGACTTTGAGAATGAGAGTTTGTGACGAGCACCTCTTCATTCTGATTGGTCGGTAAACCGAACCTAAGTGGGGGAGGATGTAACGGGGTACGTAGCCCTAAGTGTACCCTGGTTACATGAAGTGTGACACTTCACACTTCAGGTGTATGACACGTCATACTCCGGGATATTTGGTACAAGGTACCAAGGTCGTTCAAAGTCAACCATTGGTCAAACGACATTGCATTTCTATAGGTAACTTTTCGTTTGTATAAAACCCAAACTTAATCTACCTATAAATATACTCAATTTACAATCTACCTTATTTAGGTCACTTCGCTCTCTTTAAATAACGAGGGGACCTGTGAACTGCCGTTCACTGAGAGTTTGTAAACTCTCGGAAGATAACTTCCTCTAGCGCAAGGTGCTGTGTGACCCCGTCACAGTCAGGAAAGAGGCTACTATTCGAGTGTTTTATAATTTCTTCCCGTCATGTATTACTGTATTATCTTTCCTTTACCGGTATTGATACCAAAGAACCAACCTAAACCGCGGAATACCGCCTTTATCTGGCCAACATTATTCAGGCTCGCGAATACAGTAGGGCCGTGTTTTCTGAAAGTGAAGACAAAAACTGCGTGCGTTTTGTAGACACATATATTACCTTCTAATGCTGCTGCTGGAGAATGAAGTCTCTGTTGATCGTGTTGTCGACTGTGGATGAAGCCACTGCACTGGGTCATTTACTGGTTGTGAGACTGATAAGATTTAAACTTGCGAATTAATGTTCTGATGTCAGCTTCTTGCGCTTAACGTCGCGCGGCTGTCAGGTTGTATGTACCATCTCGAAGTTGTGCAAACAAAGTACATACTGCGGCTGCGAGCTTCGCAGTGCGAAGCAGGCTTGCGAGAGCTGCAATTCACAACGTTATTTACAATGGAAAGTAATTTTAAGCTGCAAGGGGTAATAAACTGAAAGCACATAACGTTTGTACAAAATCGATACCAGTACCGGGACTGCAATTTATGATCTAAGACCTGGAAAATCTGAACCGGTAATACGGTAAGCTACCGTACCATCGGTAACACTTTGCGGGATGGTATGACCATCTGTTTCTCAAAAGTGGGTTGGAATTTGATTTCGTTGGGTAACGCGATCAAGTGCTTACATTTCGTGTTTGTATGGTGTACCCATTTTGGTGGCGATCCAGTGGGATTTTCACCGTGAATTGTCAAGGGCTGCGGTTGGCTTGTCGTCAACAAACGTCAGCAGCTCTCTCCCCTTTGCCTGCGCCAGCGTTGACCGCGACCTCACTTCCGCATTTCCTCAAGCGCCCACAGACCATCACTCTGTTCTCTTCCTACACCTAGTAACATGCGCGCCGCCCTGCAGCTATCCCGTCGTCTGCGCTCCCCCGCCACACGTACCATGCGCGCACACTCCACAGCCGCTGCGCCGGTGTCACTCGCCGCTTCCTGGGACCGTCCGTTCCCTTCCATCTTGGTGCGTTTTCGCATTACTTTCCTAGCAACTACTGTACAACATACTAACATGAGTGATGGTCCTTTATAGGTGTCCGCTGATGGCGTCTCGGCCCAAGGCTCATTCGCCGAGGCGCAGGCCAACTACCTCCAACCTGACATGGAGGTGGTGAAGGAACTGGATGCTCTGCTACACGAGAAGAAGATGGGTATCGTTGCGCATTTCTACATGGACCCGGAGCTACAGGGCATTCTGTCGTCGCTGTCGTGGCCTCACACGTTCATCGCCGACTCTCTGGCTATGGGCGAAGCTGCGGCTAAGATGGCCAAGAAGGGAATCCAGTCGGTGGCCGTGTTGGGAGTCGACTTCATGTCGGAGAGTGTGCGCGCAAATTTGGACTCGAACGACTTCGAGCACATCCCAGTGTATCGCCTGGCCGAGCAGAAGATTGGCTGCAGTCTGGCCGAGTCGGCTGAGAAGCAGGCATACCTCGCGTACCTGCAGAAGGCTGCCAAGACGCCAAACAGTCTGCACATTGTGTACATTAACACGTCACTGCGTAGCAAGGCCTTCGCTCACGATCTTGTGCCCACGATCACCTGCACGTCCTCGAACGTAGTGCAGACTGTGCTACAGGCTTTCGCACAAGTGCCGGATATCAACGTCTGGTACGGACCGGACACGTACATGGGCGAGAACCTGCAGCAGATGTTTGAGCACATTGCGCAGCTCCCGGACGAGAAGATTCGTCAAATCCACCCTCAGCACAACCGCAAGACAATTGCTGAGCTGCTCACGCGCTTCGACTACTTCAAGGAGGGGAACTGCGTTGTGCACCACATGTTTGGTGACAAGGTGACGCAGCGCGTCCGTGACGAGTACAGCCATGCTTACCACACGGCACACTTTGAAGTGCCTGGCGAGATGTTTACACTCGCGATGGAGGCCCAGAACGAGGGCCGCGGTGTTGTTGGCTCGACATCCAATATCCTGAACTTTATTAAAGCGAAGACGGCCGAGGCTGTTAAGAACCAGACGGGAGAGAAATTGAGCTTCGTGCTGGGCACGGAGGCGGGCATGATTACGGCTATCGTGCGTGGCGTGCAGGAGACACTAAACACACAGCAAGGAGGTGTCAAGCCCGCGGTGGAGATTATCTTCCCTGTGTCGGCGGATGCTATTGCTACAGAAGGGGACGAGTTGGTGCCTGGCGTTGCTGGCGGTGAGGGATGCTCGACTGCTGGTGGCTGCGCTACGTGTCCATTTATGAAGATGAACGACATCGACGCTCTGTTCCGTGTGGTTGAGGGCGTGTCAGCGAACGCCAATGGCTCCGATCCGCTGGCGAACTTCTACCCGCAAAAGTACAGTGAGCTTATCCAGGGCAAGACTGTCACAGATGTCGGCGTGAAACCCATTCTGCACATGAAAGCGTTGATGGAAGGACAAAAGTTGTCGGATGCATTGGTGCAGGATATTCAGACTCGGACACCGGGTGCCGGCTGCCCCGATTCCAAGTAACCGCGTAATCCAGCATTCTAAGGTGTCTCAATGAAATTTGTTTAGCTTTCAACGAAGTACTAAACTTTCGTGGTCCATTAGTATGATTACTGAACTTGCTGTACTGGAAGCTCGAGTGGCATCGAGGTACTTGTACCGGACACTACTGCTACTTAGTCAGCAGGTGTGATGCTGACTCGTCGGATCTATTTTTACACTCCGAAGGCAAGTCAATATGAAGGGGAAATTGTCAAACCTGGGTGCTATCCAAATAGCGTTTGCCAGATTGTGATCACCCTTGCCAGATCCTGGTACTCTGGTGAATTAGATTTTCGATCAAGCCATCTCTGACGATGGGGCGCGGAGATAGTTGGATGCGACTAGCCACTCAATATGACACAACCATAACGGAGTCGTGCTTGTCACTGTTAACTGTGTGGGGGAGCAGTAAACGCAGTAAACGCGTACAGTACTGCACACCCAAGTGCTCATTTGAAAAGCACTTTGCCCAGCGACTACTTCGTCGGCTCATCCGAACGGCTGAAAAGCCCGCGCTGCAACGACTCAAATGTACAGTACTGTAGTAAAGTAAACGCGAAGGTGCTCATTGAACATGTTCTTAGGGTTGGTAAGTGTGCAAGTAAAACAACCGAGGAGAAGTTGCTGGCGGCTCTACCTCTTAATTGCTCTTCTGTGTGTGTGTGTGGGGGGGGGGGGGGGTGCCGCCTCACTGATTATAACCCTCGTACGTGCGAGCACATGTAGCAACGACAGCGTGCGTACGTGAACATGAGCTGAATACAATTACTCCATTCTCAGCACAGTCAATATCATCAGTACTTTTACTATTGTGACGGGTGTCAAACACTGGGATTGATAGAAGAGTGTTTTTTTTGCCAGACTACTTTACAGTACCGGTATGTAAATGAGACCAGTATTACCGCTCCACTAAACTAACGGATGCGCCCGAATAAAAGCCCCCTACCGAATAGTGTCCTGTGGGGTGCTACATGCCTGCACTATTAAATACTGAATAGAGACCTTATAAAAACTACCAAATCTGCTATTACAAACTTGCTGACCATCCATTCTACAGAGAGAAACACTTTCCCGTCATTTCCAATAATGCCTCATCAAAGGCAGTCAGTTAGTAAGCAAGAGGTGATCAAGTGGATTAAAGATGCCGTTTCAAGGACCTACTGTACACGGAAATTAACGCTTGGAAAGAGTCAGACCGAGTCGAATACACTCGCTTTGGTAACCCACGTATGCCAAGTGCTGACACCGTTTGCGATTGGGGCCTCCGCGCGTGGCGAGACACGGATGAGGCAATAATCATGCGGAGCGTTGAAATAGCAGGCTTCTCGAGAGACCCCTCGTCGTGGTTTATATCCAAGCACGATGTGTAAGGCGCAAAATTTCGTGAAAAGTGGTCGAAGGAACCGCATATGAACGAAGACGTCGATCTGTTAAATCTTTCAGAGTTAGATGATGCGTTAGACGATATTAACCTGGTACACGAATCATTTCAGCAAGGAATAAAGTCCTTACCCGTTTAAAGGCCTCTCTGTCACTTTCGGGCGGCACTATTAAATATAGTCCGGACTCTAATAGGGCGCGTCCGCTAATACTCGAGTAATATTAGCGAGACGAGGATAAGCACTATTATTGTAGTAGTACTATACTACTGGACTATTGATGCTGTCGACCACCTAAAAATTTAGACGACGACTATCTAAATACTCCGGGCCAAGGAAGAAAAGGAATCAAAATGCAGACAATCTCTAAATGCTTGCCTACGACGTCTCGGATTCCAAATAAAAGACAAAATGACCCCTCGTTAGGGCAGCCGAAACGACTGGTGGTTGCAGTACAAGCCTCTAAAGCGGTCTTGTGAGACAAACCGTTCCAGCGTGTGACCAATTTCACGGGCGAACTTCAGTGTTATCGTCGAAAACTCTCACGACAAAGAAAAGTTAGATGGCGAAGATTATGCTGTCCAATCCTCAAATGCGCTGTCCAAAGGCAGCTAGTAATTAGATAGGAATAAGCTATTAGAGACTTTTCGCAATAGTCTTTGTCGCTACTTTGCCCGCACAAAACACTGGGCAAAGATAATGTGCAGCATCCACATTACGAGCTTTCGCAGATTTCAATATCTTAGACCAAAACCCTCCCAAATCTGTTCAAGATCTCCACTACCAATCACTTTTCATCCAGCATGGAGCTGCTCCTCCTGCTCCACGAACTCCTCGGCGGCGCAGTTACGGCTACGGAGGCAGCTCTGTTACTCAGCTTCGAACAGCCTGAGCGTCCGATCATCCCAGAAGTCAGGTTTTGCGTCACAACTCTATCGGGCGAGGACTGTAGGCAGCAGTTTCGTTTTGATGTCGCCGGCGTCATCCGCCTAACGGAGCTCTTCGCTCTTCCGGAGTTCGTGACACGGGCTCGCGCGATAAGGCGGACGCCACTGAGGCAGTGTGCATCTTGCTCCATCGCTTGACCTACCCCAAGCGCCATTACGACATGATTCACAGATTTGGGCGCTCCACAAGCGCCCTGTGCCGTATTTCCATGCACGTCGGTACGTGATGAGCAAGGACGCATGGGCAGTGAAATTGGTTGACTAACTCTTTTACAGTAATGTACTTGTATGATAGATACGAGGATACTATCTACTGCCATGAAGCAGTCGTGGCCGAGCGCATCCGTGCATTTGCAGATGCTGTGCACCGCACCGGGTCGCCTATGAAGAACGTTTTTGCGTTCATAGACGGCACCAAGAACCGCATTTGCCGGCCCTCGTCTCGCCGTGGGCGCGGAGCAAACCTTCAGAAGCAGGTGTACTCGGGCCACAAGCGCACTCATTGCCTCAACTACCAAGCAGTGGTCGCCCCCGATGGACTAACCCTGCATTTCTGGGGGCCGATCGAGGGTCGGCGGCATGACAGCACGCTGCTGCGTGAGAGCAAATTTATCGAGTATATGGAGGAGCGAGCCACCATATTAGATGGGTACGCTCTCTACGGGAATCCGGCTTATAAAATACGCAAGTTTCTAGTGTCAGATTTTCGAGAAACGGCGCCGACGGATGCCGAGCAGCTCTTCAACAAGCTCATGAGCTCTGTCCGAGAAGCTGTTGAATGGAAGTTTGGTAGCATGAAATCATTGTGGGCATTCATCGACTTTAACAAGTCTCTCCGTCTGCGACTGAGTCCCACTGGTAAGTATGTGCTTGTGAGCATGTTGCTCACAAACTGTCACTGCTGCTATAATGGAGGCAATCAAATTAGCGCCTTCTTCGGCTTGGCTCCACCCTCGCTAGATGCATACCTAGCTAAGTGAACGTCAAACCTCGCTAAATAAACGTCATTTGTGTATCCCTTTCAATCACCTTTATTTGCTTTAACAACTGCAAGCACAGCATCACCTTTCACGCTGACAAGGCGGAACATTTGCTCGTTTGCCTCTCGGCGGGATCAAGCTGCTTCATCGCGGTCTTCTTCTCGTTCTCGTCGGCGGCGTTCAGCTTCCAGCTCCCGCACCTCTTGTCTCTCCGCCAGCTCCTTCTCCTTGAGCGTGATCAGGAGATCCTTCAACTCCGTCTCCTTGCGCTTCTTGACGGGCGTGCTGTCGTCTCCGCTCTCTTTAAGCGACTCCATGGCAAGTCGACGCGCGACAAGCGACGTCTCCTCCTCGCGCTCGCGCTTTCGGAGCTCGGTCTCCTTCGCGGCGGCCGTCTTGGCTGCATGGTCGTCGAGCTTTGCCACCAGGTCGTCCAGCAGGATGACCTTTTCCGACTCGTCCTCGTCCACGCCCGACGCCTTCGCCGACTCCTCCGCTGCAGCACGGTGGGCCTCGACTAGCTTGTCGAAGCGCCCGCTGGCCGTCTTGCCACTCAGCTTGTTGCGTAAAAAATTCTCGTGCAACAAGCTTAGTGGAAAGGGCCTCCCACGCTGCCATGATGCCACCTCGCTGCCGGAGGAATGGGCGGCCCGCGTGGATTTGGCGCAGCAGAGCCATGTCTTCATCGTCTGTGAAGTTCTTGCGGCGCGGCGCTCCAGCCATGGTCCTTAACGAAGATCTGAAAGTGCTGCACTCGTGGCCACGAGTGGAATTGGTTGTGTGAACCACACGTGTTTGATGGAGAAAGCTGTCTCCACAATCGCGATTTTTGTGGACTCCAATCCTCACTACTGGCCCCACCGGACCGTCTCTCGACTGTTTTTGGCTTTGTGGGGATAATGTGCGGGTGGAGTGACTTGCAAAAAGTCTCTATTACTAGCCGCTCAGGAGCTAATGTAATAGCTACTGTAGTATTATTAGTTGTCATCGCTCGCACAGCTACTAACAGCTATAGTAGTTCAGTTTTAATCAGTATTTATTAGTACTACGATAATACCATTCGTCGAAACTACTGTCAATTCCTGCGTACGATCCAATCACTGATTGGCAACCAGATCGCTAAGTAGATCCACTTGTTGGAGCGGACTTGAAGTGTCGAGACCGTGCCGTTTACCCCAGTGAAATTTGCTCTAATGTAGGAGGTAGGACAAAAATCAGTGATTATGTGGCATACATAACGTCTTTTGTCCTAGCACGCCCGCGGTAGGATAAAAATGACTTTATTTTTTATGGGAGAATTCTCGAGGCCGAAATTGCTGTATGACTAGCCGTATGCCGCCGCTTTGCGGCGGGGGCGCATGTATGCTAATTACTGTGTTGCGCCTCCGATCCGCTTGCCACAGGCTCGCTGCACCACTTGCATGGTTAGCTGGTAAGTTGGGGATGAAGCGGGCCCTTCAGGCCAGCAAGGTTGCACCAGGTGCCGTCTTGGGCCGCCTCGCTGCGCTCGGCAGCAGATATATTTTTTGGCCAATGAAAGCCCGAAAAATCTGAGCGTTTTGCGTGACGGACGGACAACGTTACTGTAGTTGATGCTTAAAACTATCCGCTAGCCGCCGCTACGCGGCGGGGTGGAATTGTTTGTTGGATATGAGGTGACCGCAGCTTCAAGTACTTTGTGGTGTCGTGTGCTTTCAAGCTGACCTTGTACCTCGAGGCTTCGGTCAC